GGGCATTGATAGGTGTGAAGTGCAGATGTGGCTGTGCTCCTTCCTCACAATGTTTAATATCCGCTGTAATGGAGGTTTGCGCGCCCTGTATAAACCTGTAAAGGACGTTTTATGGCAGGCATGGCTTCAGATACTTTATGATCTGCACATTTTTGCATGGCCGCTATTTTAATTTCCCGCACCTCTTTTGATCTGTGAATGAGAATCATGCTCTAGTGCTATCTGTCAACATTACGCCATCACCATATATCTGCCAGGCGCCGCTATGCCAAGTCTTGATTATCTCATAGAACTCAAATAGAAAAGTTGGTACGAGCCAAAGGTTTGAGCAATGAGGTAATGTATGGTTTTATAACAAAAATTACTTTCAGGTCATTTATTTAACAATTGGTAGGAAAAAAGAGTGGAACAAATGACATTGGTGTGATCACTGCATCTGAAACTGGTTGGCATTTTAAATTTAATTGCATTGCATGGATTGACTTGTATAATCTGTAATTAGGAGAAAGAGAAAGGGATCACTCATGTGGGATTTGTTACGATCAATGTTGTTTGCATAAGTATGTTTAGCTTTTGCATTGGAATTTCCTTATGTGTGATATTTACACCTTTTTTGAACATTTTGACAGGACTGGATTTGATTGACATGTTTATGTTCTATGTTTTTGTGTAGTCTTGTTTATGTGTTGAGTGTGGAGAGAGTGGTGGGGTGTGGGAGGGTTTTTGTTTTGTTATTGTTTTTTCTTTTTTTTTTTTTTTTTTTGGTTGCTTAATTTCAAAATTGAAAAAAGAAAAATGCCTTACACAAATAGAGTTTATGTATTTGCTATTCTTTCAGTTTTCTACAGCATATTTTTTATTACATTTTTAAAAAATCTTTATGTAACTGAAAATAAAAACAGTGACTTGTGGGTCATTCACATTATTTTTAGTGACATTTACATACCTGGATTATCTTGTTCATTGGTTAGTACAGATCACACTTTTGTTAATATTTTGTTGTGCTTTGATCTCCATTAACAGAGCGTGATATGGTACAGTGTGTGGTGCAATGCAAGCTGTATTTAAAGAGCCTATATCAGATACGCTATTTTCTAACCTATGTTATAATGTTTGTTCATCAACAAACAAAGTTTAACACACAAACCCTGCATATTTAGGCTGAGTTGTTCTCCACAAAACACTCCACTGTGTTTTTAAACTCCATATATCTTCATTAGAAGGTATAACAGGGCATTTTGAGCTTTGGAGAAGTAGAAAGACTAATAATAAATGATTACACAAACATGTGTGAATCAAACAAAGCACATCTCCAGGTATGTTTTTAATTAGGTAACAATGTTCTAACATGCCGTAAAAGCTTACAAGAGTAAATGTTGCGTAATATTGAAATAAAACTAAAAGCACAAAGGAAGCAGATAGTGCAAACTTCTGTGCTCCTATGTGAGACAAAATTCCTATGGAGGTAACATCATAGATATTTAAATAAACCCAGGCCTTAGTTTATTAGTGCGGATAAACGCTGTGTTGCTTCACTGCCCATTCATCAAAACAAATGGCTTACATGCATCGCCTCCACCATGATCTGTGTTTAAAGGTATGCTGCTCAAGTCACTGTGTCCTGACCTCAGCAGTAGAGCTTTACAGTCAGTGCGCCCCCTCCTGGACAGTCACATATACAACAGATTTTCCGGTTGGCCAAAAATATAAAACTTATTACAATTTTGTGTTTTACTGCTAGTTAAAACGACAAGCATGGGTGATGAATACTGAATAGAAAAGCAACCAAAATTTGTAATCATGGCACTCTCCTCACAGTAATTCCACAAAAGCCAGCTTGTTAGATTTGTGCATACAGCCCTAAGTCCCCATTGATTTAACAATAACACGTGCTCAATTGTGGCTTTAGGGAGGAAGCAGCAGGCATCCAAAACCAATAACGGCAACAGGCATCCACCTTTTTTGATATCAAGCATTTGTTACACGCCTTCAGATGAATTATTGATCGCTGAAACTACTCACAAATTGATTTTATGAGAAAGATCATATTGTTTTTTATTAGAGCACAAATGCTGAAGTGTGACTGTGCAATAGAGGTTGGACTATTTTTTCTAATCTATTCTGACACCTGTAAATCACCTGTATTGCTTTTTATTTGAAGGCATAATTTATCTTCCAAAAATCATCTAAATGGCTCAGAATAATTTTTTCTGATGATTTGTCAGAGAGGGTTAGATATTCTTACTGAGATGGAATTTATTTTATTCTTATGCAGTAAATAATAGTAATTGTTTAATTACTTTGATCATAATTCTTTGATCTGAATCCAAGGCACAGTCTTCAATCATGTGTGCAAGATATTGAGCACGTAGCTACCAAAAAAAAGAAAAAAAAGAAAAAGAAATCACAATACTTCCTGGTAATTTTTTACTAATACAAGAGGACCTAGGCCTGTCATGATAATTACTATATTGACTTATTTAATACTAAAAGTGGGAACAATATATTTTTGGAGCCAGTATTTATTGTGTGCACATTCTTTGCACTACTGGGAAATTTTTGGCTGCACAATAAGCTTTAAATCGTAAAAGGTTGAATTAATAAGCTTTTTATGACTCATTACAGATGCAAATTAAGGACTAAAATGTTTCATTCTGTTATTGATTGTTTTGATTGATTTTCTAACAATATTGTACATTTAGAAGAGTTTTGTGGTTCAGATCTGCTCCTGGGTTATTGTGTCAGTGACAAAAATTTGTTTCAATGTTATAGTGTATAGTCCATATTTACTTCAGCAATATATCAATCTAGATAATACCTATGTTGGCCTATATGTTTTTTTTCATGGTCGATACTGAGTCCAAAGAAAGTGATGGCCAATAACTTCTGCCAATATTTTTTTCGCATATCTGTAGGGCCAGTGTTTATTATTTCTGCCAAATTATGCCATTTAAATTCACTATAAACTTCCCTCAAACTTTTTAAGAAAGCAGAATAGTCACCGTTTGTGTAATTATCTCTTGCTTTATAAGGCTTTGTGTGTGCTCTTTAGGCAGCAGGTCATCCAAAACAAAATATGTGACTGTACTCAAGATTTAAGGCAGATTAGTTGATATGCTAAAGTGCAAATATCTGTTCATCTCTAATCTTATCCATAGTAACCTGTGGGACACGTGCTACCAAGTGAACCCAAATGCGAGAACAATTCATCTGAAAATAAAACTATTAACTATTTCTTCAACCACTTCATCCTCATTACAGCGAGTCAGCACCATCGACTGTCCATTAAAACCAGTCACCTCTATTGATCCCCCATTACAGATGACCCGACTGGAGTGTTTTCTTCCTATGAGACCTCTCTGCTGTAGCCACGGACATTGATTCCTAGTCATATGAGCCGTAAACAGAGCATCCTGATGTATCTTTTTGTCTTTCTATCTGCTTTTACTGTGGCTATGACATTATTGAGGTCAAAGTTCAGGTGACACTAAAAAGTCCAACCATCTCATATTTATGTGTTTTACATGGCTTGCTTTCCATTCCTATTCATGTCATTTTGTCCTAGCAGGTCAATGTAACGTTTAAATATTTGAAATGTGGTAATGGGGTTTCTAAAGCCGCTGTTTGCAGCAGCTCTTGACAGTGATAAAATTAGAAGTTTTTAAAGCCTATTAGACTGTGCTCTAGCTGTATCTAGCTGCACTGTCAGCACTCATCCCAGACCTTAGTAGTGACCCCTTTAGGCCCTTTTACAGCTAATTGAACACAGAAATGCAATGTTAGGTGAGAGCTTTTGCTTTGTCAGCGCAGCCACTTATAGTCTGTTGTGTACAAATTGCTTTACCTCAGTAACAAACTTCCACAGGATGCCAAATATTAAAAGCTCTTATAATTATTTATTTTGGTCCATATTAATAAATTGTAAGACTTGTAGAAAACCTTATTATATGTGCTCAAGAGTTATGTTTTTTTACTGGTATTCAGCAACATTAATAAAAATAAATAAATAAATGGCTGTAGATGCATAAACAACAAATGTTTTGAAGTTCCATATTTTGTCTAATAGTTTTACATACTTTAAATTCAATTGAAAAAAATAAATAAAAATAATAAAAATATAGACTGTATAAAATATACAGTGATATAGATTGTAATTGTAATGATGTATAAAATGTAAGTTGCTTACTAAAATGACTTACTTTAATTAAAATTGGAGGACCTGCTATCTGTTCCACTTCATCCAGTCTGTGTAGATCTCATTCTCCTGTGACCATGTTGCCTCCTCTTGGTGAAAGTGTCCAGTATTAGTCTTGACTGCTACAGTCTGTTGTGCCAAATGCAGCGTGCTGACCAAAGCGGAAGGCAAAGGACCTCAAACATCAATATTAGGGCTGGGCTCTGGGCTGAAGTGGCAGCTTTTACACAAGAGCAGGATCAGACGGGTGTTGTGAGATGCACATCAGCATGAGGCATGTTTGTTTTATTGAAAAACAATGGCTCATAGTTAGGGATGTTACAATTAATGACACCATGACCAAACAATATGTTAATCCTCACTGTGTATGTGACACCTTTTTGAAATTAAGCTTTCTGAATAAAACATAAAAGGATAATGTGTCAGATTAAAAATGCACTTTATCATGATTATATTCTGACCTAAATGATCCTTATTATCTATTAATCAAAAAGTGTTTGTAACAATGATCGGAGTGTCCAAACAAAACATCACGTTCGTAAAGTGTTGCAGCAGCAGAAGATGAAAAAAAAAAAGTTGTTAAATCTAGGTAAGAGAAAAGTGCCAAAGTACATCTGTCGGGATCGCCATGGACAGTGCTGCCCTGTGATTGGTCAGTTTCCACACCACTAGTGGGACCAATCACATGCAAATGATTCCACCAGAGTTGTTCAAAACAGACTCTTAAGAGATTGTTTACTCCAAAAAACTGAAAAAAATGCATCTTGCTGGCAAGGCTGTTCAAGAAGCAAATGTTGTTTTTCAGGTGATTCTGGATCAGAAGCAAATGAAGAAATTGAGCAGCCCATAGACAAAAACCCTACAACAGCAACAAAAAAAGTAGAGAAAAGGAAAAGGGTGATGGAAAAAGATACAAAGCCAAAAAAGAAGAAAAAGAGTGAGCAGGTTTGTAAAGCAATTGATATCTATATCTATACACACACACATATGTATGTATGTATATATATATATATATATATATACACACACACACACACACCGATCTATCAGTCGGTAGGTAGATAGAATTAAATATTAAATAATAATATTAAAAAGTATTTATTACACAACCCTTTTTTATTGATTTGACAGAAGGCACCCACATTGTCTGAAAAGAATGATCCTGACAGTGAAAAGTCAACCAAACCCAAAAAGAAGAGGAAGGTGAGTTTGAAATCTTAGAGCTGCCATCTGCTGTTTGAAAAAGGAATAACAATTACAGTTGTGCAAGTACCAAGTACTTTTGGGTTTTGTTTCTTGTTTTGTTTTTTCAATGTGGATATCAATACCTATGTAAGTTTTATTCAAAGTTTTTTTTTTGTTGTTGTTTGTTTTTGTTTTTTTTAACAGAAGAAGAAGAAAACTATAACCGATGTATTGGCTGCAGCTGAGCCCAAACCTGGCTGCCCTGCTGATCTGCAGAATGTGGTGACAAAGTATTTCACAGACAAATTATCTGTCATTGAGCAGGAGGAGTTACAGCTAAAGGGTGAGACTAAAATAGCACAAGGCAAACATTTTGTTGTAAATGTATCAAAGAAAAAAGAAAACATCTTTGAGCACACTCTTCCTCCAGCTAAATCCTACTAATATATTACAGACTCCAGCTTTCTGACCTGTAACGACCTGACCCACAGCCTTTCATCTTATCTCAAACAAAGTAAATTTAGCAAATTTTTACTTATATTGTTATACATGTACATGTATAATGCACTGTATTCACTTATGCTGTTGTTGAAGTCTGCCCCAAATGGGCAAAAATTCAGAAACAACACACACAGAAGGGTTCTGCAGTGATACTAATTGTCTGCAGCTCGGCTCTAAGAACCATTGAGCTCATCAAGTAAGACACTTTAGATGAGAATAAAACAATTCTATTTTGCTAATGAGCTAATTAATAATTTGTTTCCAGGCAACTGACAACATTCAAGGGAGAAGCTAAAGTACTCAAGCTTTTTGCAAAGCACATTAAGGTAAAATTTTGTTTGACATTGGTATCATTGTATAATCTCCTGACTATTCATATCATTTTCTTTCCTACATACCTTACATAATATATTATGGTGTGTGTTTTGTTAGATTGAGGAACAAGTAAAGCTGCTGCAGAAAGGAGTCACACACATTGGAGTGGGGACACCGGGAAGAATATCTGCTCTTATTGAGAAAGGTATTTTAATCTGTGTTATTTTAATTAATTTAATTCAAATTTATGTTTATATTTCAGATAATTTTTTTTTTTTTTTATTTTTTTATAGAAGGGTTGAATTTGCAAGCCTTGCGTTATGTAGTTCTTGACTGGAACTGGAGGGATCAGAAGCTTAGGAGGATGGTGGACATCCCTGAGGTAAGTGAAAATTCAGTGTGTTTTTATTTTTATTTGCTATTTTAATCAAACAATCAAACAAGTTTTTTTTTTTCCAGATCAAACTGGACTTCATGAATTTACTAGAGAAGATTATTAGAAATTGTAAAGACTTCAAAATAGGACTGTTTTAAGTGTTTTAGTTTTTTATCTTTTGCCAAACAAATTATAAACTTTTTTTTTATAATAATACGCATGCTCTGGGAAAAAATAAACTGGCTGCAAGAGAAAGCTATGTCTCTGTTCACTCTGAAATTGGGAAGTGGCTCTTGCTGACAGCGTGAGATCATAAGTTTACTCGCCCACGACTAGGAAGTATCAGTTAGCAAAACATCCGTCTATAAGCTATTGTTATATGCAGAAGAAGAGCTCCAAATCGGCATGTTTGCATCTGCTGAAGAAACTATAAAAACATTTGATCAAACAAAACAAAAAAAAATTAAGAGAGAAGTTTTTTTTCTGAACTGTCAAGGTCATAAAAAGCACAGAGAAACTGCAAAAGAGTAAGTAATTGAGCACGGCATTGTAGTTAATAAGTAACAGGCCTCATCGGTCCCACCCTGCAAGGCCTGCTGGGAAAGTCTCTTGGCAGGCAGCGTTGTCCGTGTGTGTGCTTAGAGATATTGCAAAACCAAAAACAGGAAGAGCACTCAAGACCGTTTTTTGTTGCTTCAGTTCAGTCTTCTTGCTCATCTGCTGCACCTCCAGAGAGTGCTGTAAAATGGGTAAAGTGACCAAGTCTGGCCCACTGGCTCGGAGGCCGGACAACTCTGCTTTCAAACAGCAGAGACTTCCAGCCTGGTCCCCAATGCTAACAGCTAACACAGTGCTGCCTTTCTTTTACATCATGGCTATAGTATGCATGTTATTGGGAGTGTGGCTTCTTCTGACTGTACAGAGTACTCAGGAAATGAAGGTAAGACTTTTGTTTACTGCCAGAAATAAGCAAATGTAAAGTTGAAAGGTTTATGTCACTGTGATTAACAGATAAGGAAGGAAGATAAAACACCTCATATGCAAAGGACAGATGTATTCATACAAACTTAAATACTTTTTTCTCTCTTTTCAGATGGACTACACAGAGGCGGGAACATGTGATTTATGCTTTGAAAAACGTAAAAATGTGAGCCACGCAGCAGAGCCCTGCAGTTGTACGGTGGTTTTCTCACTTGGAAATGCTTTCAAGGTAATAGCGTATTGATGTGGAGTTTCATTGAAGGTATAATTCATTTATTTTGAATGATCTTGCTGCTCTGTTGTCCAGGGTAATGTTTTCTTCTACTATGGCCTTAAAAACTTCCATCAGAACCTGAGGCGGTACATGGACTCCAGAGATGATGGACAGATGGTTGGCAGAAAGACTAATCTACTCGTAAGCCTACTCTTAACACAATTTCATCTCCAAATAGTGAGGGTGTCTGGATCACATTCTTAACTCCTGATTAGTGTTGTATTGACCAGTTCATTGTGCTATTTTAATACTGAATTTTGAGCTCAGCTGTATATTTTTGTTTACCATTTTTATTATTGTTTACTTTTTATACATTCCATAGAACCCCAGCTCTTACTGTAAACCATTTGACAAAGATGCAAGTGGAAAACCTATTGCACCTTGTGGAGCTGTGGCCAATAGCATGTTCAATGGTAAACTCCAGTTATAGCCAGCTAGTTTGTGTTTTTATTCTTCTGACTGATGTTTCTTTTTAGACACTTTCACTTTGTTGTACCACAATTCAAGTGGTGTAACACACAAGGTTCCTCTTCTGCGACAAGGCATCACATGGTACACAGACAAAAATGTGAAGTTCAGGAATCCAAAGTTGGGCAACGAGACTCTGCCAGAGGTTTTTTCAGGTATTTAGCAGCACTACATCTATAAACATCTTCCGCGCCTTCTGTATCATAGCTCTAACCTCAGCATTCTTCTACCAAATACAGTACACTGATGGTCTTATCTGACACCTGAAGCATCATACTGTCAATTATAGTCCCTCCTGAAGAAAAGCACAAAATCTTCAGTAGTGGTGCCCCCAGTGGTTCGTCAGTGCCACTTTCTAAGCACTGATATTGTGTGCCTTGTTTGTTTTCAGACACAGTGAAGCCTCTGTACTGGCAGAAGCCTGTGTATGACCTTGACCCATTGTATCCAACCAATAATGGCTTTATAAATGATGACTTCATTGTCTGGATGAGAGAGGCAGCATTTCCAAACTTTAAGAAGCTGTATGGTGTCCTAAACAGAGAGAATTCACCATTTGATGCAGGTCTACCAGCAGGAAATTACAGCATTAATATAAACTATAGTATCCTTTAACCCAAATGAGCTCCCTGAAGAGTTCTGTTCTATTGTGTGTGATGCTGAACAGATTCTTTGCAGACTATTTAAAGCCAGGTTTTCAACCTTGACCCTTGCCTCTCTAGACTTCCCTGTGCAGTATTTTCGAGGACGAAAGGAAGTGGTGTTGACTACACTGACCTGGTTTGGAGGTCAGAACCACTTCCTGCCCATTGCTTACCTAGTGACCAGCAGCCTCATACTTCTTCTGGCTATTATACTGACTGTGGTCTGGTGGAAGTTTGGGAAGGATGGAAAAAACATGGAGGAGTGAAGAGCTGCAGTTTGTGACAAAAGATGCACAGATTTTGAATTGAGGCAATGTTTTACATTAGTTTACCCTGTGGACAAATTGCACTGATTATGTGAATGTAACTATAGTAAAAACTGTAACTATCATACACCAAATATTCTTGATTCTGTTTTTGTTTAAATTATTTAACTTATTTCTGAAATCCAGTCAAAGTTGTATTGAAATGTGTATTAAATAATGGAGAAAAAAATGATATAAATGTTTATCTAAATATATAAGTGCTTTGTGTTTTGTTTAAAGGGCCAAAAGAAACTTTGTTTAAAATCTTTATTTTACTATTTACACTCAGTGTGAACATAGCACAGTCCCATAGTGACCAGTGAACACTGGTGCTTTGAAATACTGGTGTGATTCAGCATTAATGTGGAAACAGCTAAAAGGCATTTTACTGCACAAATTTTTGGTCAAGACAACACCAGGAGAGGACATGAAGGAATGCAATCAAAGTTTAAGTCCACATTAAGTACTGATGATGGGAAAGGTTAGAAAGCAGACTTTCAAAACACAAAAACATTACAAAACACAGCCGCTCAACAAAATCACATTCAGGACTTTTCAGGAGACTATTCACAAACGTTATCAGTGGCAATGTATCAATATTATTGTCTGTACCATTGTCCAGTTTGCTGATGTAATGCTTTAAGAGGCCATTAAGACTTCTGTGATCTGTTGGCACACAGCAAGTTCTGAAAAAGGCAACATTTGGTCTATAAAAAGGCAGTTTCTATTCTTGGGAAGACTGATCTGCCTGATTGGCCTTTGAGTTGTATGAAAGGAATACATAGGTGACTGAATCCCCATTATAACAGTGCAATCTTAGTTGAAGGCAGTTGAGAGATTGTTTTATATCAGCAGGATGTAAAATAATAAATATGTAGATTTTAAAAGGTTTGGTGTATTGAATATTCTATAATATACATAAGCTTTCAAGTTATACTTTTGGACATTAAAGAACCGTACCATGTGAAAAGAGGGAGTTCAAATGTAGTAGGTTTTGTTAAACTTGGTTCACTATGTGACAGAAAAGCAACACAATCTCACAGTTTAACATTACAAAAAATAATCACAGAACATGTAGTAGTCACCTCATTCATTCATTTTTCATTTCTTTCTCACATTGTCTCAAACCTGGCATAGCACATTCATCTGTGTTTCAGTGATAGGACTGTAATGGCACTACACAAGCATATGGCCAAGCGCATTCATTTAGGGAATACAGACATCTCCAGGTGAACCTAAAGTTCAGGTAGTTCAGACTCGAGGGTTTCTGCCTCCTCATCTGCAGCTCATATTTCAGTCTATAGTGTCGAGTCAGCAGTGAGGAGCAAGGAAAGACTATGTGCATCAAGACTCACTCCTTCAGCTCTTCTGAGTGCTGTTCTGAGGTACCTGATAGGTCAGGTCCTCTGTGGGTGTGACCTGTCCAGTGACATTCTTTGGCGTATCGTAGGCAGAGCGGCCCAGTTTAGCAGTTTCAGGCTTTGTAAGCATGGAAGAGGGTACCATGAAGCTGCTCATGTCTACTACAATGGGAGTGGCATACTCAGCGCCTGAGGCAGGCAAGGGCTCTGCATAGGGATGGGACATGGGAGCGTCATACAGGTCTGGATCGGAGTACCCTGGTTCTGGGCCTTCATCCGGTTTAAAAGTGGAGCGTGCACCCAAAGTTGTAACCCCACTGACCAAAGGCTGAGCATATTCTGCAAAGCATAAATGAAATATCAAATTGTAGCAGAACATAACTGCTTGGGCCCATGTAATTGAAACCGTAATTAAAAACAAAATGTGGACAAACATGTGGACGTTACCTGCTGGTTCTGCATGTAGAATGGGGACCGCTCCCCTCCCTGTTAGCCGGCCCACCTCACTGCTGCTGTACCGAACAGTCTCATCTGTGTCCACCATCTTTGATGGCAACAGCTGTTTCATGCTTTTCCACCAATCTGTTGATGTTAAATGTAAGTTTAGTAATTGAATACAAAGTATAACAAGAACATGCAAAACTATCCATCACAATCAAATACCTGTGCGGTCCCAATGAGGGAGATCATATGTGCCATCAGTACTTTGTTTTCTGTCCAGAAAATTACAAGTGAGTAATAGTGAACAATTGTACATCATCCTTTTTAGCAGTATTCTTTTTACTTGGATTACCTGTTTCTGCAGTGACAAGCACAAACCACTGTTAAAATAAGGCCAGTAAGGATTATGGCCAGCACGGGAACCAGAACTGCTATCATTGCCATACCTAGAGCCACACAGACAATTGAGTTAAAGTATATTAGTGGAACACACAACAAGATGCAGCTATAATGTTTATAATGTTGTACAGACCATTTTCTGAATGTGGGGGCATAGTGGTGTTTCGGATGTCTGGTGTGGCTGTAGTTACTCCAAGGCGTGGGGGGCGTTTGGAACGTGGGGTTGGATGAAAGGGAGCCATCATTCTTGGCCCTGCCCTCACTGTACACCAAGATACAAACAGATCATAACAAAAACAGAACAGTTTGAAAGCTCACTCATTAGCCATTAGAGTTATAAAATTTACCTGAGGGAATTGGGCAGCCAAACAGCTCCAACTTAAGTGCAATTCTTTGGTGCCACAATAACGGATTTATTCTTAGAAATCTGGCCTCTATTGGAGGAATAAAGTTGTTCCTCACCTCATGCAGAAAATTGTTATTGCCTTGAAAAACCTGTATTGAAACAAAGATTTTCTCTAATATGTTTCTAAGGCCCACATCATCATCGTCATCGTCGTCATCATATATATATATATATATATATATATATATATATATATATATATATATATATATATAATATATATTATATGTAAAAAATTCAACTATTAAAACCCGTAAGTTGATCATTGTGATCTGCTAATAATTCTGTTGCCATTAAAATTGTATTTATTGCACAATATTATTACATAATAAAAATATTGTGAGAAGCATGTTTGATATAGTAGGAGGACAGTAGCATTTGCAGTGTACAAGATACTTTGTGTGCAATGCAGCTTTGCCAGTTAGAAATATCTACTACACCTAAAGAATGACTGAAGAAGAACAGCATCAGACAACCCTTTCCAGCAAATCCATATTCATTCATTATTAATGCCTCAGTGTCCTAAATTGTCCACCACAGCACTTAACTCACCCAAGAACTTGCCTCATTTCCTGCCATAAACATCACTCAGTGGATAATGGCTACGATGGACACTTCCAATATGTCTCTATACATCATTTATACACACATTTCTGTCCAATTTTACAAATATGAGACCAAACTAACTGTGAATGCCAATTAGGTAACAGTGTAGTCAGTAGGATGTATTGATTTCCTGCTTATATTACCTTGTCTTTTGTAGAGTTGGTTTCTCTGTAGCTTTGCCACTGCTGGCCATTATAACTATAGAGAACTCTGTATGCTGATACGTAGTATTGGTATTCTCTCATAGTGGAACCAGTGGTGATTATGCCTGCAAAGTAAAGGAACATAGATATTCATAGGATGAATGTAATGTAATGGAAATGTATTAACTAGATTTATTAAGTCTGTGTACCTGTAATGTTTCTCTCCCTCTTGAGGTCGACCTGCAAAAACTGCTGCTGGTCATTGTGTGCAGGTGCCCAGGGTCGCCCCACACTTTTGAGTCGTGCCCCTGTTGGTGCCCATTTGCCATTCCACTCCCACACAGATGAGGCAGTGAACTGGCTGTCTGCTACACTACTGGTCCCCAAACCTAAGGTCCCCGAGCAGCCTGCCAGAGTTTCAAACAAAGTTAGCCAAAAGACTATATACAATTTTATAGCTGGATAATACAAGTGAATATAAATAAACGTACCACTCGTCTTGAAGGTGAAGAGGCTGTCTGATAACGTTCCCCTACAAAGACAGTTGCAAAATGATATGATCAGATATTAGAGAGGTCCATTGAATAAATAACACTTAATCAAGGTTTACCCAGTGGAAGTGACATTGTTGGCCAATGTGCCCTCATAGTGAGGGATGCCCTTGCTGCTGACCACATGGATCTTTCCTCCCACAGCATTGGACACGACTCCAGCGTGGATGGCTGCTATGCACAGGGGGGACGACTGTAGGACAAAGGAGGTAAAAATTAAGATGCCTAATTGCAAAATGACAGAATACAACATTACCCAAAGGCAAGATTTAAGATGGCAATCCCATGAGTGTAATTAAAATGAAGTCTCACAAGAAAAGACTTTACTTTTTCCTCTGCTATTAGTCTGGTGGTAAACAGGCAACACCCTTTTCTACAGGAGATTATGTCTATACATGTGAGCAGATGTATGATGTAGTCTGGCTGGCATGGACAATTTAAATAACCACAAAAGTATCATTTTGTGAATTGGGTGAGAACATTCAGTCCAGTGTGATGACAAGGAACACAGACAATAATAACGGATGAATCACAGCGATATTCCTCTTCTGTACAGCAAAATAATGAGGCGCACTGATAATGATTCACCACCAGCTGCGCTGCTTTCTGAACCTGCCATCAAATCACGCACAGACCAAACCTGACTCTGCTCTGGCCACCAGCCTCTCACCAGAGCAGCTGCTGCCCGAGGTGGAATGTTTTTACTGGAAAAGGCCCACTGGAATTCACAGCTGACACAATTGTGAGAAAACTCTGGTGACCCACCAAGTGACAAGCCTGAATACATGCATGTTGTATTATTCACATAGTCTGGTCAGAGTACCGAGTCAGCCACACTTGCCCCATGATTCTTAAACGTTTGTAGAACACCAGCCACATCCTAAAAAGCACTGTTCCAAACCACAAAACAAACAGAGCTTAGTGCGCTCAAACCACTGTGTCGCATTTAACATGAGGCTACAGAACATGAAGAAGAAGGCAGAAAATAAATTAAATAAGGGATTTATGTTGATAATTCAAAGTTTTGATTTTAATTCTAAAATGAAAATATTACACTCGTCAACCACCAACCACATGCTCACAAACATGAACTCGGAAGGACAGGTTTGCATTGTGACAGGAATTCTTGGTAATTTAATCCTCTTACATTTTAGAAGATGAAGTCAACATGACAAATTGTGTGAGCAATAATCATGGGCACCATTACACAAGCGAAGTAGTACACAAAAAGATGCATGTCTAAAACAAGATACGTTTCCTTTGTTGCTTACATTTAAGAAGATCTATAACATTACGGCTGTATTATTTGTTTTCATTAAATACAATATTGGATTATTGTATTCAATTTCATATGTATGTATAGTGAAGGTCCTTATGTTTGGTTAGGGTTATAATACATTTTTCTGTACTGGCCAACTTCTTAGGCATGCTTCCTGGTATTTCTACAGCCTCTCATTCGCACTCCATCTTGAGACATTTCTAACGCACACACTCAGCACGTCGCTCACTTCTGCGCCCTCTTGCAGCTGGACTGCATTAGCTGCCTATTATTTTCAGCCAAATTATTATCTCACCTCACATTCACCCCTTGACCTTGCCCCTCCTATGTGCCTGAGGGGCAGCTTGGTCGGTCCACCCCTCCCTCTTCTCCCATCAGCCACCTCTGCTTCTCCTGGCCACAACGCCAAGCTCTGAGCATGAGGTCATCAACAAGAGACTCACCGCCTATGACCTAACTCATAGTGGAGGCGTCATGAGGTCATCTAAGCTTTGGGAGTTTACACAAAACAGATCGCAACATTTAAATCAAAATAATGCAAATAGTGGTGGGTTTAGTATAAAATTAGAAGCACTTGTCCAAACTCTCGGCCTTATCAGACAATGGTAAGATCTTGTTTCAAATAACACGTTCTGCCCACTAAGCTACAACTTAGTTCAAAATGATATCAACAAATCCACATTCTCCGTTTCTTTTCTGACCTCTTATGGCTGGAGTAAGAATTTTCAAATGGTACAAAAAGAACAAAAACTGCAAACTAACCTCCTTGTCAGATTTAATGTAATTTCAATTGAGAATCTGCCTGTCAATAAAGAGAATACAATATAGAATACAGTGATGTAGGCATGCTTCAACAAGATACTCACTTCTCTATATCCATTTGGTATAGTTCCAGAAATCTCCTCTTTAGATGTTAGGCAGCCCGCCGGACAATATTTACTATAACAAAGACAGAACAATGAACTTCAGATCTCTTCACTGCCACAAACACAAACAAAGGGCAACAACATTTACCTGAACTCAGCCTCAGGGAAATCAGCTCCTTTGTCCAAACAGGTGATTAGATCTGCACAGGCAAAGCTAAGCGTCAGGACTTGTTTTAAGGTACTAAATCCACTCTTAATTCGCACTAGATTTAGGTTTTAAATTGTTGCACTTGGGACAAGCTAGATGTGAAAACAAAAATGTGCAGCAGTAACAGTAAGAAGGTGCATCTTAGTTTAATCGCACAAAGTCAAATTACACAGTATGTGTGCTGGACAGAGGCACTGTATAATGGCATGGACTTGTCTAGATAGACTAAAACAATCTTGTAAAATGTGCTGTTCAGTTAGGTTGATTTAGATGCACTGCATAAAATTATACATATAATATATATCTCACAATTCAATCTCAAATGGTCTCACCAGTGTGTTCTGTAAGGGAGAAGGACAGGTAGAATCCTCTTCCTCTGTGGTGGGTCCCACTCATGAACTGGACTGTCACCTGGTGACCACTGGACTCAATGAGCTGCTCCAACTTCAGCCCCGAACCACAGTACTTCGCTGCATCCCCAAAGGATCAATAGAAAACATCAAAATTTAATAAATTTTTTCATCAAGGGCAACATATCTAAACACAGATGACGCAGAGGGCCGATCGAGGGCCGTAGACTGCTGCTCAGTACAGTGAATAATTTAAATATATGCATGTTTAACACATTAGAGTGAGCGGTCAGACTTTATTCATGCTAAGATCCTTAAAACCACACAGTAAATATTAATTATTAGCTTTATCAAGGTAAATTTTCAAAAAACTTGCAATAAAAAAAATATTTTAGTTGATGCAAGGTAATTTGCAGAATTTGTCTGAGGGCCGCATTTGGCCCCCAGGCCATAGTTTGGACATGCTGCTCTTTAACAACAAAACTGGATTTTCTGAACCTGAACCAATAAAGTTTGTCTAAGCCCAAGTCAATAAGTTTTCTGAGCATTTGCATTCTTTTTTTTTTTTTTTATAAAATTAAAAGAGTTTATAGTCTCACTTGAAGTTTAGTAATTGTAGTTGTCTTGCCAACTTCAATTTTCATTCACAGTATAAAAGTGTAAATGTTGTAATGCAAAATAGGCATAGTCCTGAGGTGAGAGAGTGTATATATGGTTTTCTTACCAATCTCACTTCTGTCAGGTCCAATCCCATCGTAAAGGCGGAGGTAGTTGACCTGACAGTCGTTTTCTATGTCCAGTTCAGCAAATCGAAAATGGATCCTGTTCCCACGAGGGACTGTGATCTCCCACTCACACACTGTGTTGTTGGGGTATGTCCTAGGGTAACCCAGAGAGGACAGAGTCCCACTGGTGGGGCCAAGCAAGCTGGGACCACAGCCATCACCTGGACAAGAAAACAAATACAAAGCCTACATTTACATTCAGAATACAAAATGCAACAAAAAGGGCTGATTAAAACTAAAAATAACTTGAATTTTTGTGTGCAATTACATAGTAATTTTATATTTACCTGATGTGTTAACGTCACCTAAAAACACGTTTTAATACATTTCTGTTGGACTGACATGATATTATCAGAATCTTGTTATTGGGATACTGAATATTAAGATATTCATTATTGCTCTCCACTCCTAACTGAATGTGATTCTACATTCTGTCACTGTGTGGACTAAATTATATTAAATGAAACATGCCAGTAGATCCAGAAAGTTAACCACAAGGGGCTGGCAGTGGCAGATAGGATAACTGGCACCTTTAGGTTACAGTAGTGAAGGCAATTTTTTTTTTGTCAATGTTCTAAAATTAATACCTTGCTGTAAATTGATTATTTTTATATCTCTGAAATATAGTCTGTTATTTGAGCATCTAAACAAAATCAATTAGGTCTGGGAAACAGGCCCTGATACAGAATGAATCTCATTGCAGTCCTTTTTAATCTGTGGCCTTTAGTAAACCGGCTACATGAGTCTACAGTTTTAAAGGCAAAGACAGATGATGGCCTGGTTTGGCAGATAACACCCCACAGTCATGCTTCATGGTGTTAAAAAGTGGATGTTTTGTGAGTCTGCTGTTATGTAAGAGCTGCACTGTGGACATGATCCAGAAGATCAGGACAAAAACACAACTGCTCTCTCTCTCTTTCTCTCTCTCCCTCTGCTCTGACAATTGTTAAAGAACAACTGTGTGGTGTTCAGGAAGAGCCAAACCTCCAAACAACCTCTGGACTAAAGGTTAAACCAGTGGAAACAACTGAGAGGAGTTAGGAAGTTTTAACGGGGAATGTGTTACAGGGACTGACAAAATGCCCACGTGTTTATGCGTACCCCCAGCACCCCACCCCCACCAAGCCCACCTGAGATTGGCCGCCTTCAAATTAAAACTCAAGAGTTTCGGTACATACAGTACATCTATGAATTCAGAAAACAACAGATGTTTGCGTTAAGTTGGCACTTGAGAAATCGGTTGTAAAAAAGGGCCTGTGTGTCAATCAGACACGCTGTGGCTTGTATACAAACTATAAAATACGGGCACACCGGTTTTGTGGATGAAAGTTACCAATCAGACAGTAACCTTACTGCAAAGAAAACTAGTTAATTAAACAAAGAGTGAGACAACACAGGAAGTAATGTGTCCACAATCTCAGTTTCATAAAACCGGTTTGTCAAGCTTAGCTTCACCAAAAAGATCCAGGGTGTGCGTTGTAACCTAAACTCCACGTAAATACGCGCAGCCATGTAAGCGAGGTGTACCGTGGATAATACTGCTGGCCTTTAAACAACCCTGCTCACACTTTACCACCACCACAACCTCGTGTCCCAGTGGTTAAAGGGAGCTTCCGTGGACACAGCAGCTGCGACGTACCCACCTTTCTGCGCCCGACAGCCCTCCGTGGTGAAGATGATGAGAATCGACAGGACGAGACCCCCGGCCCGTGTCGGTCCCCTGCCCACCATTACCACTCTGCCCATAGCAGCCTGCAGTCTGAATGCATACTGCTCGCTTCTCACCGGCTACACCGCTTCAACTTGAACCAAACATAAAAATATACCAAAACAACAACTCGAGTGCAAACCCACAAGCCGCCTTAGCCCGTGGTTTCCGTGTCGTAGCGTTTAGCTTTTCCTTGAATCCAGTGGTTTGCGACACTCTCACTATGGAGGTAAGTGAACACACACATCTCCAGAGCTACTTCCTCCATCTAAGCCCCTCCTCCCTGAGCTAATCTGGGCCCCGGGCCCCCAAGTGGTGGACAAACAGTGCAGAAGGCCGACAAACATCAGTGTAGGTCTCTAATCCATATCCACCTGTAGGTTCGCTCAATTTAGGTCTTAACTTAATATTTGTAACTTGTACAACATAAATGGGAAACATAGCAAAATACATATTCTGGACAAAAGTGTATTGAGTAAAGACTCAGTAAACAGTTGACAGGATTTAATGTTTCTTTTGCTATGGATCCTACCTGGACGACTGAAGGATTATACATCTTTCTAGGTGGGAAAACCTAATGTACTAAAATGTCCCTGGTAATTCAATTCGTATTTTCAATGTATTATATTAAAACATTTAAAACATTATAATTTGACATATTTGTGGGAATCAGACTAAAAGAAGACCTAGCCAATGGCCAATCAATGGAAGTTAACACCCTGAACATGTAGTGAGGAAAGAGCAAAGGTAGCAAGCAGGCATGACTCGTGTTAACACTAGATGGCAGTATTACTCAAAATTATACAAAATCCAGAAGTCACGCTACAAACGACCATAATTATCCCACTTAGTATGCCTACGACCAAAACTCAATTTCAATACACTCAGTGTACAAAGTATACATTATATATATTATGCAACTATTTAATATTTCTATCTGTATCTATACCCTACTTCTATTGTGCTGTAGTCCTTGCAGACAACTGTAGCCTATTTGACTAAACAAACTAGCTTCCTAATATTTTTTCTCATGCATGTGAAAGGGCTGTCATTTCATTCACTTTTACTGAACTTCTAAAATAGGTTGACATAAATAAATAGTTTAATCTTAAACTTCTTTTTGTTTTTTGTTTATTTCTAGTTAAAGCAATTTACCTTTTCAAACTTGTGAAAGCTGGACATTGTGTAAGAATGTTCCTATTATGTTAATTGAGTAAAAGTTTCTTGAACAGAAATAAGGTGGCTTGCCCTCTTTGGGTGGGTGGAGAGTTCCTGGCTCAAGTGGAGGAGCTCAAGTATCTTGGGGTTTTGTTCACTAGTGAGGGAAGGATGGAATGTGAGTTTGACAGACAACTACATCACTGAAGATGCTGCACCAGACTGTTGTGTGAAGAAACAAGCGGTCGAAATGAGTTTCCTCCACAGGCTGGCTGGGCGTTCCCTTAGAGATAGGGTGAGAAGCTCAGTCATGGGGCGGAGCTTGGAGTATAAACTGTGCTCCACCACATCAAGAGGAGACAGCTGAGGCTTGAGCATCTGTTCTGGACGCCTCCTGGACAAGGTGTTCCAGGCATGTCCCAGAAGGCCCTGGGGAAGACTCAAGACACACTGCCCACCACCACTCTGCCTGTCTGGGAACGCCATTGGGTCCCACCTGAGGAGATGGAGGAAGTGTCTTGTATAAGGCTGTGATTTTATATTTTATTACTTGTCTTTATATTTTATTTTGACTTGTAATTTTACATCTATATAATTATGTCTTATTTCACAACTGTCCCTTGCTAGCTTTTTTCTACTTATTTAGAATTTATTATTACCATTTATAGTTTTTGCTCTTTATTGTTGTATTATATTGTGATGTGTGAGCTACTGTGTCCAAATAATATCCTTTGTGTATTTGTCTAAGTTTGTCCAAGTTTAAGGAAAGTCTGGGAGTCCCTGCTTAGACTCCTGCCCCTGCCTCCTATATATATATATATATATATATATATATATATATATATATATATATATATATATATATATATATATGTGTATATATATGTATATAAAAAAATAATAAATTGTAAAATCATAGCTAATTTAGACAATTTAGACAATGAACAAAAATTATTTGGCCCTTATTAATGTTATAGTTGCTAGGAAACATGCCTCTATGCATGTCATATCTGCTGATTGTATCCAACCTGGAAGTAAAATTAGGCCTATAAAATTTGAAACTAGAAAAGATTACACAAAATACTTTGTAAAATCTTAAATCTAATGATGTTATATGTGTTGAAGTGAAATGAGTAGTCTAACCTGTCACATGCACTTCAAATAAAAGTATATAGTAAAGTAAGTAAGTAAAAGCACTGAAATATCAGTTTAAAAATGTAATAGTAAAATTGTGTTCAACATAAACAAATGAATTGAGTTCTTATTTTTCCTAAGAAAAATAAGAAAACTACTTTACTTTCCACTCCAGTAAAAAAGTACAGATACCTGCGTTCTAATGTAGTGAAGTAAAAGTAAAAAGCATACACTATAAAATGTAATAATTACTGGACAGATGACAGATACAGTACTTGAACTTTTGTACTTTCATACTTCCCCCATTGGAGCTGGGTGCAGTGACTTGCAGCATCGTATGACTCCCTCTAGTGGTTTAATTATGTTAAACACTGGACTGTTTCTATTAATGGAACATTTGTATTCAAAATTTGGTATACATTCAATATGATATTTCCCAATTTTGACTATATAAATTATTTGCTCTGATGTGGCCTTTGATTCTACCAGCTTTAACATGGCATTTATCAGAAGTGGTGCAGTGGGCCTTTTACAGATGGTTACTCTATGTCAAAGATTAATGTTCCACAGTGTTTTCCTTGAGTTCTTCTGTTTATGTTCTGAGTCCCACTGTATACACTAAGGACAATGATGTATGTGTGATCCCCCATCCATCACCACCTCTGTGCACAGTTTGAGCATTTGTGGATCTAGAGATGTAGAAGGACACCAGATTTGTCTAGAAATGTAAGTAAATGTTCAGGTCTTTTGGGAGGTGATTTCAGGTGGTCCAGTGCAGTTGTTGTCATTACCACAGCTCCCCCCAGTGGGACCATCCACACATGTCCTTCCTTTGCTTCCCCATCAGAGACAGAGCACAGTCTATGGAACATAACTCTGCACACAGGGATGTCTGTACACACTCTATTTGCTTTTGCTTGCAAAATAAAGTACTTTCTATTTTCATCAATGATAGATGAGCAGCTCTTTTGGGAAACATTGAAATAAAGTTAAACAACAGAACACATGTTAAATTTAGAAGACTGATCAAATAAGCTGATTGCGGAATATTGAGTTCAAGCAGTTAATTGTCAGTTCATCTTTTCCACTAAGAAAGTGCTTAGACTACTGTGTGTTTGGCGAATAAAAGTGGTCACATTGGTCACATTTTTTATGTAGCACTTTTCTACATCAAGAAACGACTTACCCATTCACACATGTGCATGCACACACTGGGGGCGAGGTGGGTTAAGTTCCTTGCCCAAGGACACAATGACAGCGTTCATCTGTGGGGCAGTGGATGTGACCATTTTACCAATATTTATGTTCAAATCAACTTTCAGATCAATGGATAAACACTGAGCCAACTGAGCTACTGTATCTCTAAGCTGTATATATGATATGCCAGTAGGGATTTTTTACAATGCAGTGTATTCAGTCATTTCAAATGTTGTGATTTAAAGGTATTAAACTGCATTGCTCCATTTGGAAAGTATAATTTTTAATAATGGCAAAAGAAGAAATTAAATTTGTCCACTGGACAAAAGTTTATTTTGGTCAAATATGTTTTACAGCTTGGATACCTGGATGATTGAAGGATTGTACACACACATTTTTAATAATATTATTAATAATATGATTGCCTTAAACTTGTGTTTCACTTAACACACTTAACACAAAGCCTCTCAAGGTGCTATACCCTTCAGACTGAGTAAATTACTGACCGTTGCATATAACAGATATTATAAAAAAGATGAGAATATTAGCCCGTTAACAAATCACACTGGGACACAACAGCCTTGAATAATAAATCCATAAGCAGAAGAAGGGTTAGTACATGAACAGTAACCTAAGTAATGCCATAAACAAACCTGTGTATTTACTCTGTTATGAGTCATTTGTTGATGCCTATTCCTGATTATTACAAAATTCAGATGAATGACAGTGGGAACCTTTTTGTCCAAAGACCATCATACAAAATGCCCTTGCTCTTTTTGACCTCTTATTGTCCTCAGTATTTATAGCTGAAAGTGAGGATGCATGTTTGGACACTGGGGTTAGACACACTGATGCTTTTCAGCACAGACATGCCAAAGAGCTTCAGTTCAATAGTACACAAACACTATGCTCGTCTCACTTTGTCTACGTGCTGGCCTTTAGTTTGCACATTGCTCTTGGGTCATACACTTTTTGATTTCTGCTCTTATGGACCTTTTCGCTCTCATATATTTGGCCTCTCTGGACACATTCCTGCTCCAGCTGCTGTGTGTTTTCTTTCTCACCCACATGGGCCTCACACGGTGTCTTCATTCATTATTAGTGAGCAGTTCAATCAGCACACTTTCAAATATTTGGCTGAAACCAGGTGCTTCTGTCCATTTATCAAAAAGATCAGCTGACGATGGATGTACTTTCAATGGGTGTATTTTAACTTACACATACTGATAGATTCATATATATAAATAATAAAATGACTGCTTGTTTTATGTGACAGAAGTGGAGACTAGAAAAAATTACAATACACTTGGCCATGTTATATACATATTAGGCCCTTACATACAGTGCATTATAATATACCCAAAACTCTCTAAAGCAGCAGTTTATAACCTTTTTGATCTCAGGACATGGCTTTTTGTGTAAAAACTCAAATGGGGCCCAATCATTTATTCAGTGTATTATAGTCTTATGATTTCACGTGCCTTAGGTGGGTGCTTGCAGTCATACTTCGGGCCCCGGTCCTATGGTTACGAATCACTGCTCTAAAGTCATGTGCTCAGGGAGGTAGACAACAGAAGTTGGTTGCATTACAATTCATGGTAAAATCAAAGCTTTTAGCTGAGCATAAAATATTTGTTTTGATAAGAGTAACAATATAGTGGAGTATAGCAAGTCTGCAATATTATTCTTTTTTTAGGTAATTTTTTTAAGGCTCCAGCTACCCCGTTCGGTACAGGTTACAGTACTGTGTTTAAGTCATAAACAAAGGCTG